GCTGTTCAAACCTAGTTTCAATTAGATTTTAATTAACTTTTTTAATGTATGTTTAGTTAATAATGTTTGCTTTGGTGTATCTTTGAAGCATCTTAGCTTGCTGTGGTGACTTGGCATGTTAGTACAGTGATTGTAGTAGTAGTATAGTAGTACATGTTCTTGCATGATGTTGGCTACCTTGTAGAAGAGCTTTACTTCTACTATGTCCAATAAAGTTAAACATGTTCATCCACATTCCATGCATCATGATCATTACATGTCATCTCTCTGATGCACCTATGCATGAGCACTTATACATCTGCATCATATAGGATCACAGGAGGAGTTGCTAGTAGCAGTTCAGGAAGAGCAGACCGGGATAGATCCACAAGAAATCCAGGCACAGGAGGTGCCAGAGGAAGAGGAGCAAGGAGAGGACTTGCCCGAGTGCGTGGATCATCAACCTAGTTCGTTCGAACGAGACAAGCCCCGGAGCATTCTAAGTCTCATACTTTATAAAAGCAATTCTTTCTATATATGAGTTTATATATTGTTGCATTAAGTTGTAGGAGTTGATTGAAACCGTTGATGCATTTATTACTATCCTTGCCTACCTTATTACCTTTTTACCCTGTTAGGTCGGGATCGAATAACTGCTTAGCCTTGCTTAGATCGGTAGCGATCGGTGATTTCCAGTCACCTACATTTATAGGTGGTTACTGAAAGAATTTAGCTATGGAAAGAATGATATCCTGGATTTAACCATGTGTGATGGATAATTGGAGATCGGACGGAAAAGTTGGAGGCAACCAGACAGGGTTCTGGGGTGCTGTTAGTTTTCCGTCTGTGTCGATTAAGGACCGATCGTTGCTCGTCCCTCTTGTCATGTTGAACGTATGCCTCACATTTAGCTGGCCGAATAAAGTACCTTTCGACCGCGAAGCTAGTGACACTATTCGAGCCGAGATAAACTCGGATTGGCAGACTGGTGCTGAAGGGGGTATGACGGGGACACGAAGAGTGAGCCCAAGGTGCGTCCTGGCTGTCGGGCGGTCCCTGGGTAGTGCGGTCCATGACTGTTATCCCGCGGCTACTTGGAAAGTGTCATTGGTGATCTGTAGCTCACTTGATCGGTGAGTGTGGTTTGTGTGAGGAATAAATCACCAGCTGGTTAGGAATCGATTCGAATCACCATCGCTCCTGGATAGTGATCACTTGACTCGAGCTACAGCATCGTAGTAATTATGATGGAACACTGATGGTTATCTGGATGGTATGGGATATGCTAAATCTAAGTTGGTAACTGGATGTTATTGGTTAATCAAGTGATTGCTATAGTATAGGTGCTTACCTAGATGGATAGGTCATAATAAAGATGATGCAAAGTACTTAAAATGGTTTCTTCATGATAGCTTATGCTTTTCGCAAACGAGTCAGCTAGCCCACTAAAGAAAGCCTTGCATAATCCTTGGTGTCGCTTTATTTTGGTTTAAGACGGGTAAGTCTAGTTGAGTACCTTCTCATACTCAGGACGTTGTTCCCATTGTTGTTGCAGATGGTCAAATGTACTACGGCTATTGCATTAACTGCCTGTACCCGGCGATGGGCGACAACTAGGACCAAGGGCAATGGTCACTCCGTATCTCTCATCTGATGCTTTTGTTGGAGATGACTACCTACTGGCACTGTATCTGAACCAAAAGTGTGTGTGGCTTTAAAACTATTTGCTTCCGCTATTTCAGTATGAACTTGGGTTGTAATAACTTTATGTTCTAAACTCTGATGTATCCAATTGTCATTGCGAACTTTATGTAACATGTGACGGTGATTACTAAACTTGTACGATCTTGGTTTGTATGTCGATTGGTTTGAAATCCTTCGTGGTTTCACGGACTACCAAGTTATACGGGCTTAAATTTGCTAAATTATCTGCTTCGGCGGAAGATTTCCTTACTTAATCTCGTATAATTGGTCGGTTCTGTTACAGCCCACGCGGGTGCGACCCACGCGCGGAAGCGGCCCACGATAGGGAGCCCACGTGTGCACTGGCGTTTTAGCAGAAAAGCCCACGCGCTTTCTGCTATTAACGCGACCACTATACGCTCTATTCCTTTAGTTAGCGATTACGCGTGAAAGCCACCGAAAAGACTCATCTTCGCATCGGGGAGGTCCCTGAAGCCCTCGCGCTCGCCGACGCGGCAGTGGCCGGCACGGAGCTGCTACGCCGGCCAACTAGGACCCGCGTAGACCTAGCTAGGGGGTCAATGCTCACCTATGGACCGACGCGCAACGCTGGGTAGCGGTTAGAAGACTAGAGACGATGTAGGGCGACTTCTCCACGTTAGCGAGCAACCTGCGATGGCGATGACAACGTTTCGGTGAGCCACGACGCTAAGGAAGCAGTAGAGGTAGCGGGTGAGCATCAGCGACTCACCAAGGACCTGGCCGAGGCGATGGTTCGGCCAAAGACGCCCAACAAGGCTGGCCACGTACGCGCGGCGAGCTCCACGACGAGCCACGGCGGACACGACCGCATCAGCAATGTCGGGAGAGCGGTAGGGGTATGGCTCAGGTGCGCATGGCGAGGAGGGGATCGAGGCGAGTCTAGCGGTGCAGCCAATTTGGCTCGAGGTGGTCAGATGGGAGCTGCCCTCGGTGATGGGCGAACTTGGCCTTATCGGCATGGTGGCGGGAAAAATCTCCAAAATTGAAGCTTGGTCGTGCCCGCTTCAAGGCTGGGTGGGGTCGGGCAGCTAGAGGACTTAATGACGAGGTTGTGGACGCGTTGAATCTGATTGAGGTGAACTCTCCCTGGCTAATTGCGAGGGCGCGGCTCTGACGGCAAAGGCGGCAGGGAGAGGGGATGGGTCCGAGCTCTGGCCGTCCTCACCTTGGCGGCAAGCGATCGGCCGGACCCGAGGTAGCATTTGCGCACTCGCTACGTGACAACGCGGCCAAACCACGTGCACACACGCAGACGAGGCGGTGGGGCGCGCGCGCGCATGCTCGTAGCGCGCCATTAAGGCGGGCGACGACGCAAAGCGTGAGGGGACACCCCACGCGTGCTGCCAGTGACAAGGTGAGCAGCGAAACAGTAGCACGACATCACGGTGACAAAGAACTCAAGATGGCGGTGCCAAAGGCGACGATGGTTGCGCCCGGCGGCAAGCAAAGGCAAGACCAGCGGCAACGACGATGGCGAGGGGAGTAGCAACGCGCACGGCGTCAGCCGCAGCCCAGCCAAAGCCACGCTAGGCCGGAAGCAACCTTTAGCGGGCCACACGCGGCAACGCAGCGTGCGGCGATGGGGGCGACAGCGATGGGGATGCCACGCGCCCGAGCGTGGTGATTGCGCCCACGCGGCCAACTAGCCCGAGACCGTGTCGTGCACGAATTTTAAAGCGTCGATAGCAACTAAATTGTTGAGGTTGACAAAAAACCGCCTTCACTATGCTAAAGAGGGTCTATTAGGCTATCAATCCGAGCTAAAAACGACACCACCTCTTAACTCAATTTCGCAAAATAAATCCCTAAACATGACATTGTCTTGTTGTCAATAAACTTAAAGAATCTTCTAAGTCTTAAGTTGAATTCAATTTCAAGTTCCATTTCTAGGCTATTAGAAGCATTAGCTAGCGAAGTTATTTTTGAACAGCAAGGATTTCATTGTCATCTACAAAGTTTATACTTCAAACTATATTTAGGTGTCGCACACATGTTCTATAATATTTTTCTCAATAAAATTGGTTTTAACCCTACTTGACATAACATGAGCTATTGAATCAATTTTTTATCTAACATTTTTATTGGTCATTTTAGGTTACGAGAAATTTATCTACATATTCTATCACATAAATATGATGCTCATAATAAGGTTCAGTAATTTGTTTAGGGCGTAACACCGAGGATGTTACGGACTCCGGGTCCAATCCATCTACCATGAGACCCCCTCCTCCGATGTAGGACGTGTGGCGTTCGATCCGATCACACAGCCAGAAAGTCTGTTTTGTGACGATGGCTAACAGATCTGTCATCTTATTTGTTGTTGTCTCTCTAACCAAGCAAAAAAAAAATCATTCTCTCTCTTCAACGAAATATAGACATGAAACCGTTCTCTTCTTAAAACTTGAGATGGAATAATCTTTCCCCCATCTTCCTAATCAAACGCACCCTTGGCGAAACACTCCAAATGTAAGCGGAAGCGGGGGAGACCAAACCCAGTTGGCCTCGAGTCCCTCTCGCGGTCTCGCCGCCTCTCTCCCACCGGCGCCACGCCGCGCGTAGCGTCTTCCGGCGTCTCCCAGCCCAACGCGGCAACCACCAATCCGTGGCCCGCGCCGGCCTGGTCCCGGGCAGCAAAAAAGCACCCCGCGGCACGTGCCCAAAGCTTGGACGCACTCACGTCACCGCACCACACGACGCCTCCGGCCTCCCTCGCATGCCCAGATCCGAATTCGGTGGGCTCCACCTACACCCACTGACAGCCTCCCGTCCCCTCGTCTTCCCCTCCCGGCTCGTTGAGCCTGCCGTCTGCGCAAGCGTCCAAGCGCCACCAAAGCCTTCCTTGACCCCGAGAGAAGCCCCAGGACCGACCCCTCCGCGCGGCGCGCGCGTCTCCCGCCCCGCCCAGGCCAACCAAACGAAGAAGTCCGTTAGCCGCGACCGCGAGACCGCGCCAACATCCCCCTGCCGATAGGGCCCACGCGGCAGCGAGACGAGTCGGGACGGAACGAGACGGCAGGTCGGCGCTGCGCACGCGGAGCTGGTCACCTCACCTCCCTCCCAGGCTCCCCCTTCCCCTTCCCTCCCGCGGTGGTTATAAGAGACCCCTCCGCCCCGTCCTCTCCTCTCTTCTCTCCGCTCCACCCACTCCCGCTCTGCTCCCGTCGATCTGCCATCCTCTGCCTGCCTGCCCCTCTTGCGCGGCGCGTCTGCTCTAGGGATTTGATTGAGACGGAGACCTACCAGAGATTGAGGAGAGGGACGGAGGCGTCAGGGCCGGGGAGCGGCGGCGGCGAGGGATGGACGGCCACGGCGGCGGGGCGGGGGCGGGGCCGGGCCCCGGCAAGCTGACGCGGACGCCGTCCTCGCTGCTGCGCTCGCCCACGGTGCGCAACTGCTCCTCGTTCCAGGCCGTGGTTGTCGAGGACCCGGAGCCCGACGACAAGAAGGCCCAGGCTCACCCCAAGGCCCCGCCGCACCACTTCCACCCCGGCGGCGGTGGCTTCGGCGGCCCCGCCCACCCGCTGCTCGTCCTCGCGCTCCCGCTCGCCTTCCTGCTCCTGCTCCTCCTCCTCCGCGGCGGCGGCGACGGCCACCACCTCGCCCTCCTCGCGGCGTCCGCGGCCGCCGCGCTCGCCGCCGCCGCGGGGGCCGCGCGCCTGCTCCGGGGACGCCTGCGCCTGCGCCGCTCGCCGGGCTCCGGCTCCGTCCAGTGGTTCATCGGGGACGACGACGACAAGCCGCAGAAGCGGGCGGACAAGGCCGCCGCGCCGCACGGGCGCGTCGTGCGGGAGGGCGTCGAGTTCTACAGCAATGGGGACTGCTACGAGGGCGAGTTCCACAAGGGCCGCTGCAACGGCAGCGGCGTCTACAGCTTCTTCGGCAAGGGCAAGTACGAGGGCGACTGGGTCGACGGCAAGTACGACGGCTACGGCATCGAGAGCTGGGCGCGGGGCAGCCGGTACCGCGGCCAATACCGCCAGGGCCTCCGCCACGGCCACGGCGTCTACCGCTTCTACAGCGGCGACTGCTATGCGGGCGAGTGGGCCGGCGGCCAGAGCCACGGCATCGGCGCGCAGACCTGCTCCGACGGGAGTTCCTACGTCGGCGAATTCAAGTGCGGCGTCAAGCACGGCCTCGGGAGCTACCATTTCAGGTGGGCGCTTAAGCGAAATTCCACGGCAAATCGATTCCTTGGCGATTGCTTGAACTCTGAACACGGGTTGCTAATTTCGACCGTGCCGCTCAAATTTGTTTCAGAAATGGCGATCGTTATGCGGGCGAGTACTTTGGGGACAAGATCCACGGGTTTGGTGTCTACAGCTTCGCCAATGGCCATTGCTACGAAGGCTCCTGGCACGAAGGCAAGAAGCAGGGATTTGGGATGTACACATTCCGAAATGGCGACAAGCGATCGGGGGACTGGGATTCTGGGACTCTCAGGACCCCCTTGCCCCCGGCTGATCCTTCTGTTCAGCGCGCCGTACAGGTAAACAACAATTTCCCTGTGCACATCTGTCTGACTAAAAATTTACCTTCTGCAATTGCCAATTCTTATGGTGGTGGTTGCATTCTTGTCCATTCATTCAGGCCGCTCAGCTAGCTGCGGAGAACGCATTTCGCTTGCCTAGAGTCGATGAGCAGGTCCACAAGGCGGTCATGGCCGCCAACAGGGCGGCCACGGCCGCTCGAGTAGCGGCGATCAAGGCAGTCCAGAACAGGATGGATGGGAAATTTTGTGACACCTATGTGTGAATTGTTGTGTGCGAGACCATGTTTTCTTTCTCTCCTCTCCTTCTAACTGTACATTAGGGTAGTGAAGGACAATAACTAATCAGTGAGGTCAGACGACCGGGGCAGCACAACCGCATGCTCCGAGTTAGGGTTCAGCAACGAACGGGAGCTGACGAAGAGCGGAGCTAGCAAAAAACCATTTGCGAGAAACGGCTCTGATTCTGCCATATCGCCATGGCTATCGGAGGTTCCCTTACTCCTTCCTTGCAACAAGCTGTAACTGTACATAGATCCAAGTGTATCAATGGAAGAGCGAGTTTTTCCAATGCCCTTTTCAGTCTTCATTCACTGCTTATTATTACTCCTAAATTATCTGTGTGGATGTGTGCAGGGCACTACACACAGTCACAGGAGTATAGTACATACTCCTGTGGTTGCTTTGCATCTGCGTTTCCATTGCTCCAACCAAATCTTGACTGCTTAGTTGGACTCCCATGTGCAGTGATTCTCCATTTGCAAATGTACTTGGTGGTGCACATGGGGGACTGTAAATTTCCCTCTTGCTCTTTGTCCTGCAATTTGTATCTCTGGTGGTGTAGGGCGCACAAGACATAAATAATTTCCAGTGGCCTGTGTTGTCGATCCACTCCACTCCCTGCACCTGAGCCCACTTTGTTTTTGATTTGAAACCTAGGGAGAGCAATTCATTCATTCATAGCTTTGGGGTGCTCTGGGCTCTGGCTGCTCCAGATTTTTGCACCACAGGGGGCATGAATGCTGGAGAAAGGATTCCGGAAATGTGAAGCTGGCACAGCGCATTGTTGGTTGCCGGGATCCCCTGTAGCTTCAATTTCTTGCATTAGGACAGCTATGCTATGCCCATCTCTCAATTATCCTTGCACTGCATCATGTGAGATATGTCACTCATTCCATAGTGTCAGAAATGGTGATAATTCTGAACCTTTTGTCCCCGTATACATGTTCTTGTCGATCATTGTTCTTTGTAGCAATATACTACGCTTCGGGAGCAGTGTGGTGATGAAATGGGTTTACCTGTAAAATGTCGAGTTCAGGAGCATGAACATCGGAACATGCAGACATGGCCCGGCTGCTCTAACCTAGAAACTGTATGTATCCTAGACGGCTAGACACATCCAACAGGCTCAACACTCTGATTTGTGACCTCGAGTACAGACCGAACAGGAGATAATCTGGGAGCTTGTGATGATACTTAAATTGCCTCTGTTTTGCGCTGGAGAGTTTTGCAGAACCTATGCTCAGCTGAATCGTTTCATGAAGCTGACTCTGAACAGCAAGTCTGTGAAAACAATACAAGTCTGCAGCTTGTTGCGCAGGCATTGATGACGGACGATCACATGTATATTCATGTGCTCTTGGAGAGATTAATCCTTGTGCTATCTGTTCTCAGCCTGATGTTATCTCACGCCATCATGCAGTCCTAAAGCAAGTGCATCATAATTTTTCCCTTATTAATAAGTTGCACAAGCTGTTCTCCACGCCGCCGGCCACTGTGCTTGGCAAGAGCTTTGAGCCAAAAAAAAAAAAACGGGCGGCCTGAAGAAACGGCGGATGGTTTTATGTCAGGTCAGGTCAGGAGCAGCTTCTTCTGTATGGCTGTATCCCTGTGATTGGAGTGGAAAGCAGCATACAATACAATCCAACTCGTGCTTCTCTTTGCTTGCTACCCTGCTTTTCTTTTCCTTCTTCTGTCTACGGGAGCAACGGCCTCGAGACATCATAATTGGTCACACTCATCACATAGACTAATTATAATCAAGCTCGGTTACGGGTCGAACAAAGCATTATAACCTGCTTATTAATTGTAGGTTCAGGTCATCATCGCGACATGTTGATTGGATGACAAGATGGTTGGATGACAAGATGGGCATCTCGGATTGAATATTTGTCCAGTTCGTTTGAACTTATTCAGAACTACTTTTCAGCCATAGAATAATGTTTTCTTCAGTCACAATATTTAAGCATAAGTATCAGCATAAGCCAAATTTCAGCATCAGCGAACATGATGAATTATCATCTCATTTACTCATTTTAATATTCCAATTATTCATTCATATAACTTTCTTCTTTCTGTGTGTGAGTTTCCTGCGTGAAAGAAACGATATAAGACCACCATGTTTCATGATGCTCGCTTGCGTGAGAAGCGAGGTCGCACACAGACACAGTAACCCCCTTCTCCCTTTTCGCGCTTTCTTTTACCCGGCTCTCAAAATCTCTGCGCCGTCCCCGTTCACGGCTCCAAATTCAGCGACGGCGGCGCCGCAAATAAAACGCCCCTTTCATTCAGTCGCCATCAGATGAGGTAGCCATCCTCGCAAAATCTATAGCGTTTCTCGCCATTTTGTATGCGCGTGGTGCGACCGTGCGAGTATGATACATCACTCATGACGGGAGCGCATCGTCGTCGACTAGAAAAACGGGAGCGCCGCTCTCTCTCTCTCTTAAATATGCGTTGTTTTCGTTTTTCGAGAAACACTTTTAACTAAATATATATTAAAAAATATTAATATTTATGATATATAATCAGTATCGTTGAAAAGAACTTTGAATATAGTTTTTAATAAATTTATTTAGAAATATAAATATAATATGTATTTTTTATAAATTAAGTTAAACTTGCGTGAGCTCCCACGAGGACGCGGTACTAAGGGCAGCCGGCCATGGAAAGCATCGCCTGGCTTGTAGTTTTCGCCTGTGGCAAGCGTCTCTGGATGCAACCACTTCGTAGGACGGTAGCCAGAGCACTTTTGCTGGCTTTCCTCCCAGGAAGGAAGAAAAAACACAGCTTGCGTACAATATTTTTTTGACATGGAGTTGTTTTATTTCCTCCTCGTGTATGTATCACAGTCACTTTCATACACCGAAAGAAAGAAAGAGAAAACATGAATGAAGGTATGCATGCAGCTACGCCAAGGCATCCAATTTACATGTACGCGGCCTTGTCTGACGCATCACTCAGACGGGAATTAGTGTCCGGTAGGCTTTCTATCATCAGGCACCGTCGTCTGTTGAGTGCTGAGCCAGCCGGACGCTGCATGCCAAGGCGACGCCGGTGGGGTTGACGAGGGCCCAACATGGCCAACGAACATGCTTATCGGCTTATGGCGCGAGAGATAGTGTATTTATTCGCTGTACCGGTCGCTATATGTGTGCGTGTGTGAGAGAAAAACAGGCAAACAGCTAAAGAAGGGCAGGCACAGACAGACACGAGACATGCATGCCGGCGTGGTGACTGACTGACTGATTGTGATTGTGAGGTGTGAACCTGGAAGGGATAGGCATCGTGAGAGGATATGGCCGTATCGTATGGGCGCGTACGTTTCGAGTGATTGAATGATTTTTCCATGCCATTGTTTTCTTTCATCAACGGTTTTGGTTGGGCAGGATGGTCACTGCAGGGTGCTGGATAGAGAAGTAACAAGTGCAGATGTAGTCGTGCGGAATCATGCGGCGGGGATGCAATGCAACAAGTGACGTTAATTTAACCGAAAGTCGTGCCCTTAAAAGGTCTCACTCTCACGGCTACGAGATTCTCCAGGATAGCGCGTGTAGCCTAGAGGAAAAGGTGAAATAAAATGTTTGGTTGCACTAGTTCTTTGCTAGCGCTTGGCTAACTTCTCGATCGATGACAAGTACTCAAAGGAAAGTAGAAGAACAATGTCACTGTTGCAAGGATTTGGTTTGGGCCATGTTCGTTTGTCTTATAATCCGTACTTTTCGGCTTATCTTTTTAGCCGGAACAGTATATTTCTCTCACACCAAATCAGCCAGAACAGTATTTTAGCTTGTTTTTTTTTATAGAAGCGAACAGGGCCTTGATCAGTTTATTGGCCGCTGTGACTGATGATAGGACTGGTGGTGAAAAAAAGGGCGAAAATATAGCGGCCACATATTGCTCGGTACTCCCTGTATCCCCATTTCAGAGTCGTCGTAGCTGTGCTTCTAGCTGTCCCCCATTCAAAACATTATGCATGCATCCATCCAAATTCAAGGAATCTTGCATGTACATGAGTGAAGGCTAAAACGACTCTGAAATTAGGACAAAGGGAGTAGGTTACAAAAGTGTACCGGCAGCTATCCCGATCCATCACAATCTGCCCCAATTTTTTATAATTTAGCCATTTTTTAAAAAAAAATTATATTTGACCCACTGGGAGACGTAAACATATCTTTGGACCCTGTGGGTCGACGCCAGGACTTATGGCGCCGAGATAACACGTCTCAGCGCCACAGATCTTAGCTCCGAGGTGCCTGACCGAGCACAGCAGGGCAGGCTAGGTGGCGTTGACGTGGCCGGTACCTCGATGCTACAGATCTTGGCGCCGAGCATAGATTCAAAACCCACGGCCAAGTTTCTCTTGCCGAGGTTGCTTTCATTTCTTCCTCCTACCTCTCGGATTCTTTCTCTCCCTAACCCGTCCAATCTCTTGAATCGATAAATTTGACCTTGGATACTTAGATTTGATCCATACATCTTCGCGAGCAATGTATCATCTCTCCCCTTATCATTTTTTACGCATTGATTTGGTATATATTACGTCTATTTTGCAACCCTAGATACGTTATTACCTAATATTTGAAGTGATTTTTTATTTTTTGTATTATGTAACGGTAGGATGCCAAGGCTTGGTAAAGCTAGTAAGCCAAGGTAATATCTTATCATCGTGTTATATTATGTTTTTATTTATGTGCAACAAATAGAAAAACCCTAGGTATAGGGTTTAATGTTCATTGCTTTCGGTTCTTAGAACAAATTTGGTTCAATTGTAGTTATGGTCGGATGACCGGAAATATCTTCGACCCATTGCCTCTGCCCAGTGGTGTTCCAATGCCTATGTGCTGGTGCGGTGATCCTTGCAAGGTAGCCAAGTCCGATGAAGAGGACGCGTATAGGCAGAGATATTGGATGTGTGCCAATTTTGCGTTTGAGCCTACACTTCGTCAGTGCCGCATTAACAAGATGGCGAGAAATTGATGTTGTG